CAGACAGACAGACAGACAGACAGACAGACAGACAGACAGAAGGGGGGTGGAGAGAGACACGCACATACACAGACACACGCACACACACCACAGACACACACAGACACCAAGAATTTTAAAGGGATGGAGAGAGAGGGGGGGCGAGACAGAGACGGGAATAGAGACAATTTATTACTTATGGTACCTTGATCTATCAAACAGTTGCAGTTTGAGTGGCACAATAGTAACGATAATAATAGATCAATCTAAATAATAATAATAAATAACATTTGTATAGCGCAAATCCCCGATCAACAGTCAAAATACTATTACTCATTACCCCAGCAAACCTGAGAACATTCTGAAACAACCTCAACTTCATGGGAAGCATACAGTGCAAGCAGCCATTTAATCTATAGGCGCAAAAACAGTAACATACTGACAAGCTCTTTCGCTCTGCCTCCTCTCGTGTGCACACAGCCCAAGGCACCGAACTAATAACTATAATAATATATACTATACTTACTACAAGTACTACAAGGTTTAGAGTTTAGACCAATCACTGTCAATATCACATAATGATTAACAATAAATTATCATTTGGTTTTGAAAAAATTAATGGTTCGCTTTCTTTGTTTAGTTGGGGGGGTTTTCCCTTGCCCCCACCCCCCCCCATCGACGAGATAAGAATGAGTATTTCCGTTCGCTCCACAACAGTCTCAAAGCGTCGGTTCAAAACTGTCACGTGATAAAACCAGCCAATGAGCGGGCTGTAAGTTTTCTCTTGCTTTCCGCGCTTCTCTCGGCTGAGCGTTTTCTCGTGAAGTGCAGGATCAAGCGTTGGTTGACTGATTTTTGCATTCTGTAGGCTAGGCCTAGGCTAGGCCTAGACGCCAGGCAAAATGCCGCCGAATACAAACAATGATTTTGGTAGCAAGGCCCGCCCGTTTTTAGCGTGAATCAAGGACCTTGACGTGAAAATACCCGAATCATTCTGACCATACAGGTTTCTCCAGTCTAGGCCTACAGTTGTGACCATATCAATATGTATGGCAGGCGATGTTAAAATTAAAAATTCGTTGGCACAATCGATTTCTAATCGTTATTTGATCTTGGGAAAAAGCAAGAGTATTGAACAGAGAGTGAAAAATAAAGAAAGACATACCAGGACCCCCCCCCAAA